TTTTGCACCTTGCAGATTGTGTGAGAATAAATGAAAGATTCTTGACTTGAATTTTATTCAGGATTACCAGTGAATAATTCATACCTTGTGGGCTAGTGGTGAAAGGCTTGTTTGTGCTGCAGGGTTAGTGATGTCAGTGGTTTGAGCAAGGAATCATTGCTGTGCAGTGGAGAGGTGTTCAGGCTTCCTGGGAGCATGTACCACTGCATCCAGCAGTGCTTTACAGTGCTTGCAGAGTGCCAGAACAGAGTGAGGATGCTCTGTGTGTGTTGCAACTTTTCTACAAGCTGGTGCAAAACACAAACAGAGGCTCGTGAGAGTTCCCAAATGGGAGTACCAATTCTGTCACACATCTCTGCTGCACTCTAATGGAAGAGCAGTCCTTGTCATTGTCATCACCAATGGCAGGGAAAAGAGAAACTTGTTGCTTGGATTGATGGAGAGATGAAGATGCTGCTGCAGAGTGGCTGACCCAAGGACTGAAGAAAATCAGAATCGTGGAATCAAGTTGGAGAAGACTCTAAGATCATTGAGTCCAATTGGTAATGGATCGTGAGGAAATGATTCACTTTCCAGTTCTTGGATTATGGTCCTTTCAACTCTGGTTTATGACCTTTTCATTTTTTGCCTGAGAGGAAGCTGAGATTTTCAGCTGGAGGATCCGTGAGGCTTATATGGTAAGGGCTGTTATTTGAAAACAGCCTGAACTGCACCCTGAACAGCAGTGAGTGCCAGAAGGCAGCCTAGATTCCTCTAGATTTTATTGTGGAACCTGGGCACTATAAAGTGCTAGAGAGGAAGGTGCAAATGGTAGATGATGCTAAGCCAGCATAAGCTGACAACAATAAGAAGAAATATAGTAGTTTCCTAGCAGACTTTGAGAAACAATTATGGGTGGATAACAGTTAACAGACAGAGTTCAGAGCTCTGCAGCTGCAGGAGTGAATCCACCAGCCTTCTTGGAAGGATCTCACTGCAATCAAACATGTGGTTATTTAAGAAAGTACTGCCAATAGTCCAGGCTTTCTCCTGAAAAGGAAATGCAGGGTTTGCACTGCTGAGCCAAACTAGCATAATCATATTCAGTTTTCTTTCCACAGTAGAGTACAGCATGGTAATTACAGCTGGTGTACCTCATGGGTGTTTGCAGAAGTCTCAACAAGGTGATGTTGGGAATAACAAAAGCAGCTTTTGCTGCAACTGATATAATTTACTTTCAATGTAAAAATGATTTGAGTGGAGATGTTTGCAAACTCACTTTTAAATATATATGTAGGCCCATTGAGAAATAGGTTCTGAGAAACTCCCGAGTTTCAGGAGTTCTTCCATGGAAATGAAAGGATGATGCCCTTTCTCTTGCAGACAGTCATTCACAATCTTGTTTATTTTTCTTGTCAGACATCGATGGCTCCAGGACTGAGAGAGATAATATTTAGAGATGCCTCTTTTAGCCATAAACAGAGAAGGCTGCAAGTAGGGATTTGCTATGTCAGTTAGCAGATATCTGCAGTAAAATTGTTTTTATAGCTTGCTTTTCTTTAAATTCATGACTGATGTTTTTGTTTTGCTTTGATGTACTATGTAAGCTATATAAGAAATTACCCAAACTTTAGAATTTGTTCTTTTTGCTTATAGAATCTCCTCAAAGAATGAAGACTTCAGCTCTCTGAAGTTCAAAGTCAAACACTGGATATGAGGCTTGATCATTCTTCCTGTTTGTCTTTGTTAGAGGAAAAACTGAGCAACATCAAGTTGGTTTCTACCATTGCAGTGCTATTTTCAATCAACTTTAATTCCTTGGGCAATAACATCATTTCATAGCTTAGTATTTACCAGGAACTCAATGTTCTAAAAGCACTGGGATGGGAATCAAGTTGTCAAGACACCAAGACAGCACGAGTGTAAAAACTTTTCTGAAAGAGAACTTATTGCAGGTGACAGTGCACAGATAATATCATGTCTGGAGGGGATATCCTTCACTGCCTGTAACAGAAGACAGGCAAAAAGATTGCTACAAAATGAAACAATTTCATGGAAATAATTTCAGAGAGAAAAAAATTCCCAACCAGCTACTGTACAGGATAGCCCGATATAGAAAGTGAACTTTATGCTGGGGATGGAACTAACTGGTTTCTATCAGTGACATGAGAATTGTCATCATAAGTGGGATTTGTTCTGGTGAATTATAGCTTTGGTAAGTTGTCTAGGCAAAGGTTTTAGGCTCTTTTCAGCACCAGTAGGGAAGGACAGGCATAATCTGTCCTTCCTTTCTAAAACAGGTGGAATAAAGTGTCTGTCACTGCTTATTGTAGAAGTCACCTATGTAACCGGTCAAGACAAGACTAGGATCTGGATGGCAGAAGTTAGGCAATGTGAATCTTGTCTAATGGTCACTGTAATTTTCTGTGGTCACTGTATTCATTCCTTATGATTAGAGCTGACTGGGAATCTTGGAACAAAACAAATGCCTCATGAGAAAATGCTGGTTCTACCAGGTGTCATCTACCATGGAAATATCCTCACTGAGAAACCTTGTTAGTTTCCAGCTGCAGTGGAGATCAGACTTCCTGTGCTTGTGGCCTCAGTACCAACACAACTTACAGACTGCCTCACTAGTGTGACTTTGAGGCCACACAGGCCTTTGCAGGACCCCTGGAGCATGTCCAGCATAGGATACATGGTGTGCCCTTTTGCTGAAGGAGCATGTCACAGTACCTATCAGGAATGCATCATTCTGTAGGCATTAAGGTGTCTTCTTTCAAGCAGCAGTGGCCAAATGCAATTGGTATCTCTCCTGTATTTTTTTGAATATAGGAAAAGGAAACTTTTGCTGTGCTTTGGCACTCTGTAACTCTGTGAGCCAAATGGGATCCACTAGAGAGATCTAAGTCAGTGACTGTGAATGATGATGATGTCTCAGCCCCTCTAGCTGGGGGGCCAGTTTGAGTGTTTCTGTCTGCTTCTGTAGGGAATGCATTCAGAGTTCTAAACTCCAACCTTTTATTTTCTTTTATTCTTGCTCTATTCCTTGTATTTATGGATTAAAAAATGGACTGCTTTTTAGTTTTGGGATTTTTTGCAAAGGCTGGAAATTTGATAAAGTGAAGAATATTGACTAATATGTATTTATATTACCATTTTTAAGTGCTATTCACCTGTGTTAAAGGTGGAGGAGATTTTGTATAGGAAGTGGCACTATTTAACAACCTAGATATTCTAAATGTTTTTTGTTCTTTCTAATAACTTCTTGATTAATATTTGATTAAAAATATTGTTGTCTAGTGAATCTTTCATAGAGAAAACCAAAAGCTGGTGAATAAATTGATGAAAATGTGGTACTATTTCTTGCATCAACTCTCTGAAAGTACTTTAATTCAACACTGGCCTCTGTTTCCAGCTTGTTAGTTGGAAGGAGAAGAAGAAGTCTCTTAGATCAGATCCTTAGACTTGTGGGCCTTAAATTTCTGACCCTTCTCTTGGTTGACCTGTCTGATCACTATCTTGTTGCCCTTGGGGCCCAGTTGACTTTTGGAAGAGAAATTGCAAGTGGTAAATATTGCACATCCAGTGAAAATGTTGTTCCTGTTTCTGTATTTCAGTGTGTAACTGCTGTTAAACCTTACAGCAGCTTAACTATCCCTCCTTCCCATAAGCTGTTGCCTAGGAAAGTTTCCAGATATATTTGGGTTTTTATAGAACATAAATTTAATAAACTTCAGCATTTGAGATTTACAAAGTTTATTTTTAGAGAAGAAAACAAGTTTTGAACTAACTTGAGTGTTCTTCATTGAAGAGAAAGAAAAACATGAGTCACAGCCTAGGAGCTGGGCACATCATCCTCACGTTACATAGCTTCTCTTTTTTCAAACTCTTCTTTTTTCTTGTGTAAGTTCAGTCATAGCCTTGTCTGTAGATACATTGAATATGCTAGACCCACTAGACTGCACAGGATAAAAAGAAGATAAAATAGCACATGCTAACTGGATGTCTATTTTATTGACATGGATCTCACCTGCTGAGGGATTCTATTTAATCAGGCCACTGATGAAATTGTTTAATTGCTGCATTTATTTTATTTTATAAAATGTATATGTAATGTTAAAGATTTTTGAGATAGCTGTGTATTTTATTGTTAATCTTTCAGATTCCAGAATTTTAAATTTGTACCAATTGTTACTGCACCTGTAACATCTAAGTTGAAACATAGCACTTAAAATAAAATCATGGATTTGGCCACCGATTCAGATAAATCCGTACTCTTGAATTATTGCCAGCAGAATCCTAATCATTGGTGTGGTCTTGCTCTCCAGGATTATTTTAGAGCAGAGAAAACTGTAGGTCATTCTGATCCTGGCTTATTCGTTGTGAGATTCTCTCCCCAGGTCTGAACAGCCCTCCACTGAGCTGGGCCGTATGGGCATTGGTGTCTTGCCAACAACTACTGTTTCTCAAATGATTGCATCTTCATTTATATTCACTGCAGCTCACATAAACATGTCCTTTGTGTTTGGTACTCTCATGTTCTTATCCTTGCAGGCTCCTGCTGTCCTGTGCTTCACTCCCACATTCTTGAATTTGATTCTTCGCACACCAAAACACCTTTTTACTCTACCATTCTCAGTCTTGCATGGATGTGAGCATCTTATCCAAATAACATGCAAGTAGAGGATCCAGCTTCTTTGACATGTGCTGCTGAGCTAAAAGACCTCTTGTTTCCTCATCTATTTAGAGAATAGAAGTGGAGACTGCCTTCCTGTCATCCTGTAGATATATTTTTAAAGAAGGCCTTTTGTTTGGTAGTGTAAGTTTGGACTTGATAAAACATGGGAAAATTCACTGCATGGAGCTGTTAGATAGTGGCAAAGTGTTGTCCTAACAGAGTATGGATGTTTTTCTCAAACTCTTTATAAAAGAGTTAATCTTCATATGATCACTGTTTGGGGATCTGTTCTCTCTCAGCTTCTGTTTTTCTCACATTTTCTTTTCTATTTCCATCACAGATTCTCTTTATCCTGTTAGACAGCAATTTGAAGAGCAATGAACAATCAATATCATACTTCAAACTGAAGAAGTCCCAGCTTCCAGCTCTGGCTATATTCCACACACCAGATGAAGAGCAGGATGTGTTGACTCTGGATGAAATCTCTGTTGAGCGTGTACAGGACTTCTGTAACCATTTCTTACAAAGAATACAGAAGGTAAAGGGGGACTCCTGTGCAGGAAACCGGGATCTTGTAGGATGATGCTGTTGTTCACAAGGCTCTTGAAGATGACTTCAGTTCCTTGAATTCCTTTCCATCCCTGCCACCTCCTCTTTCATATATAGTTGCAGCTGAATATCAGAAAAGCAGTAGATCTAGAGCAAAATATAGATGGCTGTCTTTGCAGAGCCTCTTTCTTCATTAACCTCTGCCTTCTACAGCAAGAAGACTTCACTGATCTCTGCAACTGTATGAAGGTCCCTGAGAAGCATCTATCTTTGGGGAACAGCAGCTGGGGAGACAAAGTGAAGGGCACTTTTGGATGCTGAGAATGGGGGTGGTGGATGGGAGTATATGTGAGAGGGTCAGAGAGATGGTGGCATGGACAAGAATGAAATCTATCAGGAAAGCTACAGAACAGTGTACAGACAGGGACTCAGGAGTCTACCAGAGTCTCTGCTGGGAGAGTGACAACTTAATTTCCATGTCCATTCAGTGTTAAGAGTTCCTCTCTGTCAAAAACCATCTTCCTGTAGGCCAGAGGCTTTGTGTGTCAATACCCTGTGTTCTTCAATGGAAATGAGATAGGCAGAACAGTGGCATAGACAGCAGAGGGAGGCATTTGAGTTATTTTATCACTGAGAAAAGGAACAACGTCAAAACTGATGTCATGCTTTTAATGTATTCTAGAAAGAAGATGAATCTGAGGAGAAGCCCCTCAATGACGAACTCTGACACTTTCTCAGTCAACAGGATGACTGTGCCCAGTCATCTGTTTCAGGTGTATGAGGAGTTCACTCTGCTTCCGTCATTCAACAATTCCTGGGCCAAGTCAGTCTTGGATTCCCATCGCCATGCTATGTACATATATGCTGTCTGTCCTCTCCAGAAATCTCTTCTCATTTTTTGGCTCCAGGTCTCTTTATTTCAATACTCCAGGTATTGCCCTACAGTGTGTCCTTCCATGCCACCCTGTTGCAGCAAAGGGTGCTATAGCAAAATGGTGATATCAGAGGTAAAGCTAGTAGTTCCCAGGGATCTGGTTCCCTCATTCTTTTGGCCTTTTGGTACCATGCTGGGATCAACTGTGAGCCTTTCCTGACACTACAAACAGATCCATTGCTTGATGTCACATGAACTCTTCCATTTATTTTACTAAATAAAGCAGAAAGTGAATAGCCTGAATTTTTATGCAAATAAGTTATTTCCCATTCCCCATGTCTTTCACTTAAGGACAAAGTCTGAGTATTTCTGAGTGAGTAAACTCAAAAAAATCTCCTTTCTTTGAATTTTACCAGGCTTGCAATGCCCAACCAGTCAGGTTGGTTGCTACATATCATTCCTGGTGGAATTGGACCTGTCATCTACAGATATTTCCAGTAGGATGAGAGATTTCTGTGAAAGTGTGGGATCAGAACAGCACTGGATACAGCAGGTCTGAGATGGTGCAGCAAAAATTAATTAACCCAAGATGTGGCAGAAGGACAGTAGAAAGTTGCATTGCAAGATGGGACATCTCCACACTGCATTAGATGGAAAGGCTAATGTCTGTGTATTGACCTCAGACATTCCTCAGAGGTCACAGTTCTGATGTACAGAGAATGAGGACTTTTCGGGAGAGGTTCATGAGCCATCCTTGTTCTGCTGTACTAGATACATGCAGTAGGCTTGCCTCATGCTTGGCTCAGAATCCTTTGGCATGAAGTATGGATGATCCTGTCAAATAGTGACTGCACTGTCTCCAGGGCTTGAGAGACTGGGTCCAGACCAGGGACCCTAAGAGGGGTAGAGCTGAGAAAACTCAGCTCTTTCTCAGAGATTAGCCTAAGGCAAAGAACTGGGAAAGAAAAGCTGTTCTTGGAGATGAGGCAAACCCAGCTCTCCATGGCAGAGGGAGCAGTCAGGAGCTGGAAGGGATATAGAGTAACTGCCTCACACCATGATGAGGACCACAGCAGAGAGGGTCTCAGTACAACAGAGAGGGGCAGGTGCCAACCCTGTGTTAGCTCTTGTCTCTTCCACAAGGAACATTCATCTCACTAAGACTCTATCTCCCACACATCTGGATTTATTTTCTTTAGTGCTTTATTCTCCCTTCTTCTCTGCTTACATAAAGCAAGCCTAATGCTATAATAGTTGGTGTAGGGATCCACATTTCCAAGGAAGAGTGGTATGATGAAAAGAATATTCAGGATTGTGCATTATGTTGGCAAGGCCAGGAAACTGTCTCCCTGCACAGGGAGCTCTCCCTTAAAAGCCAGAGTGGTGGGCAATATGGGTTCTCAGAAGCTCCATGGTCAAAGCAATAGCCAAGAATTGTTTCCTAAATGAGGTGGTTCAGAAAAGAGCAGAAAAAACCAAGGAAGAGTGGTATGATGAAAAGAATATTCAGGATTGTGCATTATGTTGGCAAGGCCAGGAAACTGTCTCCCTGCACAGGGAGCTCTCCCTTAAAAGCCAGAGTGGTGGGCAATATGGGTTCTCAGAAGCTCCATGGTCAAAGCAATAGCCAAGAATTGTTTCCTAAATGAGGTGGTTCAGAAAAGAGCAGAAAAAATAGGAAGGAGAGGAGAGATAGGCAAATCACCTCTGCTCAGTTCTTGCCTTGCTGAGTGCTCCCTAATCTCTGGTTTGCATGTGGTGTATAAGAACCTGTGGTATTGCTTCTGGACACAGATAAAAACACTGAAGAAAGTTAAGGGAGAGGTAAATTTGGGGTATTACATGCTGATCCTTTCTTTAGGCTGGTAAAAGTGGAAGCACATGTCTTCAGCCCATAAAACTGTTTTACTCGTGTGCCCTCTCTTCTGAGCAGCCACTTCACAGTGACCTTCTGTCACTAGTATATAGTTCCAGAAATGGAGTTGTCACCATCATCAGCTGGAGCCAACAAGGCCATAAGGTTTGGCCCATAGATGTAGTGCTCATATAACATCTGGAGTGAGCCATGTCTGAAGACCTCTTAAGTGTATTTTTCTCTGAAACCTGAGACAGTTCAGGGTGGATCACATACTGGCCATTGTATTGAGTGCATTGGATTTACATGCTTAATCCTTGAACAGCAAGTGATGACTGCTTCTCAGTGACACTCCGTGGCATGGAGGGCCTTGTCTGGCAGCATCATGTGGCTGCACTGCAGCCCCTCTTCTGATTAGCAAGCTTACCCAGGAGATGCTGTTGCTGAGTGAAGCAAAGCATGCCTTCACCACCTGTAGGACCAGATGTCTGCACCTGTCTGCACCAGATGACGTCTTGAATGAGCATCTGTTTAGTGTCAATATGTATGCCTGAATTCTGCTGGATGCTCTTGTGGATTTTGCACATTGAAAAAGGACTGCAGAAGTACAGGATAGATGCTGAGAACGGGAGGCTGGGCCCCAAATTGAAGGGAAGGGTCTGAGGTGTTAGAATGTCTTGCTGATTTCATTCTGGATGTGAGCAGAGATTGCAGTGCCGAACTGGAAGATTGTGAATGAAATGACTTCGATGTTGGGCTGTATGAAGGTGTGAGCACAGGGATCAGCTCCTCCAAAGCACTGGGGAGCCACAGAGTCACATCACAAACCCTCTCACACAGTACAGTATTGAGGACAAGAGATGGCTCACCTCACAGTGGCCCAGAGCCCAGGCAGAACAAACTCCCAGGTGCCTTCCAGAATCTTTATGTCAGTGGTGTGTGATGGTTTTAAACTCTTGGTTGAACCAGTCCTAGAATGTGCAGGGCTATATCTCCTGCCAAGAGCCCTTCTCACTTTCCCTCAGTTGGAAAACTGCTCCTTTTTATGGCTATAGCTCATTCCTCCCTAGGAAGGGTTGTATTCCCTTCTCTGCAGTAGGGTAAATAGGGAACGTCTTCTGTAGAGACATCTGAGAGGAGTCTTGGAGTTGTAGATGCTTCCAGTGTCACGCACCTCTGTGGTCCAGACCAAACAGTGTTGAGGGACTGGCCTACTGCATGAATGTCTGAGGTTCATGTCTTGGCCCTGTGCAGACACAACAGTTGCAGGAATTGGGAACAGAGACGTGACTCTTTCTCAGTGCTGGAGGGAAACAAAACAGGACATGAATGAAGTTCAGGTTCTGCAAACAAACCTGAGAGTAAAAGCAGTGTCCCTAGTGACGGTGTTCACTGTGTACACAGCTAATTATAGGGATAGCTTTTCAGGAGCTTCATTATGTACACTGGGGAGTTTAATTCCCTCTGCACCTTACAGAACTCTACACCTAAACAACAACCTTGGGAGCCACAAGGAAGCCACAGGAAAAGCCTTCTGCTACTCCAGCTGTTCTGCAGTACCCTGCAGGACTAGTGCAGCATGGACAGCCCTGGAGTGCTGCATACAGGATGGCCTGGGCACAGATGTGGTGGTGGTGGAGCCAGGGGTCTACCTTAATTCCTGTGCTCAAAGGCTTCTGCAGTGCAGTTTGGTGGGCTTAGCCACTGTGATGGGGCATTTGAGTTAGAAAACAAGAGGCAGAATCATGTGGATGAAGCAATCTCTTGTTCATTGTTTTGTTTTTGTTGGGGTTTTTTTACGCCCCTTTATGTTATCTCTGACTTGAATTTGTGATATACATGGCCCAGATGTTTTGAGCTGTCTGGGGAGGCTGGGTTGGTTTTTGAGGGGAAGAAGTGCTAGATGAGAACTGACATAGGGCAGGATGAGAGGGTTCCCTTTCCCCTTATTATTGTGCAGATACAGTGGGGTAAGAGCCCCTGCTGTGCAGCAGAGCCTGAACTCAAGGGACATTCAAAATATCTAAGATAACAGCTGAGTCTGCCTGACAACAAAGCAAGGCTGCAGAGGTGTGTGAGAGCTGCTGTCTTTACCCCAGGGAACAGGGAATTGGATTGCACTGTGGAAAATGCAACTTCGTGTTCATCCTTGCTGAGAAAGGATTTGAACGCCTCAGAAGCAGAATATTACAAAGACCTGGAGGTTCAGCAAGGGGTCATTCAAGGTTCTTGAATATCCCCACTGAGGGAGACTCCACAACAATGCTGGGCAACCTATTCTAGTGTGTGATCACCTGCACAGTAAAGAAGTTCTTCCTCATATTCAGGTGGAACTTGATGTGCATCAGTTTCTGTCCATTGCCTCTTGCTGTATTGCTTAGCATCACCGAGAAGAGCCTGGTTCCATCCATTTGACACCCTCCCTTCAGGTCCCCATACTTTGATGAGGTCCTCTCTCAGTTGTCTCTTCTTCAGGCGGAACAGGCCCAATTCCTCAGCTTTTCCTCATGGGAGAGATGCTCCAGTCCCTTAATCATCTTTGCTGCCTTCTCCTGGACCTGCTCCAGGAACTCCACGTCTCTCTTGTACTGAGGAGCACAAACCAATAAATCTGGGGAGCAATATTAGAAACAAACTCTCTCTTGCTGGTGGACAGTCTGCACTGCTTAGTCACTCTGTACCACCACACAGGATGACTCCTCTCAGTACCTGTAACAGCAGCCCACGGACTGACAAAGAGGTGGGGACAGTTGACACAGGAGGAGAAAATATTGTCTGAAGGATGCAAGTGGGGAAGTGGTTTGCAGGACCGTGAAAGAGGAGGGCAAGGAAGAGACAGAGGCTGGTCTGGGAGAAGGAAAGGACTTGCCCAAGGAGTAAAGTGGCCAGCAACAGGTAAGGGTTAGTGAGGGAAGGTTCTTGGTGGGTACTACAGAGAACTGATAATAATGGAGAAGAGAACATAGAAGTCTTTTTTTTCTAGGGCTATGAATCAAAT